CTAATCCCTAAACCCTAGACCCTGGAAGCCTGAGCCCTGACTGCCTAGCCCAAATCCTCAAATCTCAATGGGAAGGGTCATGGGCACTCAAAAGGGTAAGTGAATAATGGGGATAATTGGGGGTTGTTAATGGGTTACTGAGGTTATACGTATACTTACTAAGACCCCCTGACCCCCCCAAGCAGCCCCCTCGAAAAAACAAGCGTCTCCCCATTTCTAGCACGACCCCCCATCTCAAAGACTCCACGCCTGAACTGCCTACCGGGGGGGGGGGGGTTCTGGTTTAGGGTCTAGGGTTTAGGGTTTGGGGGGTGCCTATGATAAAGAATATGATGATTGTGGGTCTATTTTGTGGTTTTTCTGTGGAAACGGCCCTATTTGCAGATCGCAGCAAAGGCCCCTTTTTCCACACAGGCGTGCAAACCGGCGGAGTCAAAACCCTAAACCCCCAACGCAACTTAGACCTTTGTTGTTTGTCCAGATCACGAAGTGAAAGTTCCATCAAGCCTTCTCGCTTATGGTCTGGGTTTTAATTGAGTGCTGGCTTAGGGTGTGAACTCAAGGTCCTTCTTCTTTTGCAAATGCATTTGGTGTTGAGGCCCTACTTGGCATCAGAGCTTCCAGCGGGATGTTGTGATGAACGCAACACAGCGGTGTGTGTGTGTCTGTGACCCCATATTGCGGGCCTCATTGCCTCATGAAATCTATCCAGAATCATACTGCAAACAAACAGGTTATCAATATTTCAGAAACGAAGTGCGCGAAGAACATCGCGTTTCTTGGGCTCGTAATCCTAGAGCCAAGTATTATGCATGAAGATAGAATCCAGTCGATTTCGTGAACGTCGTATCCGATCATAGGGGTAGAGATAGACCACAGTGCCAGCTGTACAGATAGAACCCAGCAACATGTGAAGAGAGAGTGCCCTGCTGAACTCGCGAACTCGCATGATAAAATCTAGATCCGCTGCTGTGCAAAGATATGATAGAACCGAGATGTCTGGGTAAAAGGCAAAACGAAGTCTTGTGAGCAATATGAGGCTACAGCCTTATGATTAAAAGGTAGACTTCCTGAACCCTGAACCCTAAACCATGTCATGTGTAGAGTCTCTGAAGTGACTCATCCGCCTTGTTGCTCTCAGTTCGAGCAGCTTCTCCTAAGGTTCAGAGGCGTTTCTCAAAACACTGGTACCCTTAGGGCCTTAGGGACACTAGTGATACACACATTACACACACATATCATGCTAGGGTCTTAATTCATGGAACGCCGCAGCTAGCAGACTGCAGACATGATGCTTTGCTGGCAAAGCATGACCACCAAATATCTACACTCACTAACATTCCCCAGGAGCCCTACATGGGGGTGGTTCCCAAAATTAGGGGTACCGTACTGGGAGGTCCAGGTAATAAGGATTCTAATATTTTGAGGATCCCCCTGTTTAGGGAATCTACCATATACTCACCAAATACTAGAACGCAAAATCTATTTCATATGGGAGCTACAAGAAGTCCACGTGAATTGCCAAGCTGGTCAGTGAGTAGTCAGCACGTGCTGGGGTTGTAGCGGATGGTGAATGACACGTCCAAGAAGCATAGGCCCATCATGCAAAAGGCCATCTAGGATCTTTGGGCGGGACACTCGTAGTCGTAGCCTTTTGGTGGGGGAATATGGGGATTACGTAGGAATGTAGCGGTTTTCAGGTCTATATGAGGCTTCCGTGAAGAGGGTGACCCACATGTAGATCCATAGGGGCCCCCAAAAAGGGGGCCCTAGTTTGATGCTCCATTGTTGGGGAAATATCTCTAAACCCTGAGGCCCTGAACCACGGGTGATATGAGCTACAGCTAATATTTCTAAATCGTTGAATGGACATGGGTTCCTTACTAGGGACTAGCATAGGGACTATAGTAAACTACAGGAGGGACCCCTGTGTCCACCGTGGACACCCAAAAGATTTTAACCCTAAACCTCAAGGGTTGTAATCTCTGAGCCTTCCCCCTAAGGGTTGCAACCTCTAAGCCCCAAACCCTAAGGGTTATCACTAAGCCCTAAACTCATAAAGAGGTAGCAGGGGAGCCGATGACATGTGAACCTATAGTCCCCCTTAATTAAGTATATAGAATTTGGGGTATATGGGGATCTTATTATGATATACCCAAAGCCATATTCTGTCTACTTAAGGGGGGACTATACCTGGCGCTAAACATGCTCAGCACTCTGTTCTTATTATCTTTCCGAGGACAGCTCACAATGGGCCATTCCATGCTCGAAGGGAAGGCCCAAGACTTACCCGTGGTTAGCAAAGAATGAAAGCATGGATCCTTATAGTAGTCCCACTATATTCCCCAAATGCAAACCCTACACCCAATAATATTGCAGGTTCTATTTTCTGTTCCATTCCTTCACTCCCTGCTCACCAGAGGAAAGGTAAGCCCTTACCCAACTCCCAAAGTCAAAGGCAGAGCCTAAAGCAACAATGGGTTTAGGGTTTCAGGGTTTCGGGTTTTAGGGCTTTAGCGTTTAGGGCCACGCAGACGTTCCTGGCAGTTCTACTCCCGCTAACACCTTATTTGAGCCTGGACTCCATTGAACATCCGGTACACTCAGCGCTCAACCTTGGGTACTGCCACCCCTCAGTAATAGTTGGATATAATTATACTATGGATATTATAGCCCTTAATAGGACCCCTAATATAGACTGTTACTGGGTGGGGGCAGTACCCAAGCTCAACCCCACAAGCCCACTATATGCTGTCGTCGCACCCTGCTCCAAATACACCCCACTACAACAGCGCCTCCCACGCATTTCCTCTATCATATTCCGAACATAGTCCCTAAATATTTGTGTCCAAGGTCGTAGATCCGCCATGCAGATCCACCGTTTGCCATCGTCGGGTCGCAGTGCGGCACGCGAGGCCGCGCGAATCACGGCATTCCTCACGGTTTTCTGACTGGTGCGGCTGCTACTTTCATGGTATTTCTACTAAATCACACCATAGTCTTGCCCAGCATGCGTGCTTTAGCGAGCAAGTCAGACCCATATGGGGTGGAAGCAGTTTGAGGTTAGAGTTGGGAGGAGCTTGTTGGTGTAGACATACAACAAGTCATTCTCAAAGTTCAAGATTTATGGAGAACACGCTGTCGATTGGGTACGAGAATTTATGCGATGTCCGCATTCTGGAAGTCTTTCGTAGAAGAATCATACAATTTGCTTACCAGGCTTGCATGTGAAGACCGGTAGATGTTCCAAGCTCGTTTTGAAGCCTTCGCTGAGTCTTTCGCATCCTCATGCGAAGCTGCTGACAAACCCATGCAGTCTCTTCAGGTGATCGCCGGTGCCCACCGACAACAATACTTTTCTTTTCGTTTCGGGAATTGCAATCATTCGAAGAGTTGGAGCTGCGGGGCCGTGGTGGCTCTACTGTGTCAGAATCCAGGCAAAACGTTGGGTCTAGGGATTGCGATAAACATCATCACTACTATCCACGGGATTTGGCAAATCAAGTTCCCCATGTTTCGGTTTTCGGCCATGTAAACTGTCCGGTTGCTAATTATGCGAACACGATTTGTCTCCTGAATATGCACTCCTAGCACGTGGGCCCCCGAATTGCATTTCCCATTACAGACGTTTAGTGGCACTCTTGTGCACCTGCCCACCATGCACAAGATTGAGGAGCAACGGAGCTTGCCAACAAATAGGAGACTTGCAGACATGGCCGCGTTTTGAAGCACCCGACTCCTCATATTGTAGCCTTAATCTCATGTGAGCCGTTGTCTAAACTCCTAGTATCCCCCTCATAACCCCTATGGTAGTCCCCTATACAACTCCCGTTGAAGGAGTTTAGACTATAACTCATGTGATCTGTTTCAAAAACCAAGCAACCTGAGACATGTCCAAAGCAGGTCCGAGGTGCTGGATGTCTCCGCCAGCAAACTTCTCGAACTCCGACGCCAGGGCCTTGTGTTTGGCTAAAGTAGCGGAGAAGCCTTTCTATACGCTCCGAAACTACACGAAACTACTATGGATCCTCTTAGAGTCCGCCCTCTCAAAAGGTCTGTGAGCTTTTTTGGGGCCCCTTTGTGAGTTCCATATTAGCTTAGGGTGGCTGAGAGCAGGCACAGGGCTCCAAATAAGCCCAATGAACATTTTGATGGCGAAAGTTTGACAGCCCCTCTAGACCCCTAAATGCCAAACCCCATAACCCTAAACCCTAAACCCCTGAACCCCAAACCGCGCCTGTAAAGGGACCCTCAACCGGAAGGGACTTAACCTCGATTACTGTTCCCAAAACGGAGCAAATTGTATAAAGGGTGATATAGGGATAATGGCAAAGAAAAAGGAAACTACTATTTAGGGTTGAGGGTTTAGGGGCTAATGTAGACCCATGCGTATCATGATAGGAACCCACACGTATTCAGAAATTCAAGGAACTGCCCACATGTCCCCCTTGCAATATGCACCCTTCACGGCCCAAAGTGCCTAAATTATCTGTAGATAACCCCGGTATCATCCGGATATGAAACTCCTGTAAACCCTCAAGCCAGACCCGAAACCCATAAACCCTAAAACCCTAAACCCTAAACCCTAAACCCTAGACCCTAAACCCTAATCCCTACACCTCAAGCCAAGCTGCCTGGAAGTCCACATCTGCCGCCCGGGGCGCCTGCAACTCTGGGAAATCCAGTTATGGGCCCAGTAATGAGTACCACAAGGGACTATTGTAGGTATATTAAGGTCCTACTAACTCCATATTATGGAGCTATTACTAAAGGGGGGATTGACCTAAGTTATGGGTGCTTTTCAAATGGGCTCATTTGAGCCATAATCTAAACTCCTAGTATCCCCCTGAATGAGGCCTAAAATAGGAGTTTAGACTATGGCTCATTTAGGGTTTAGGGTTTAAGGTTTTTCGGATGTTAAGGTTGAGCCTTTGAGGGTTTCGGGTTTTTAGGATTTTAAGGTTGAGGCTTTTAGGGCTTAGGGCTTAGGAGTCCAAACATAGCAGCTCTTTCCCTACGAGCCCTAAACCCTGAGCACGAAACCCTAAACCCGAAGCCCTAAAACCTGAAACCTAAACCCTACACCACCTGAACCCTAAGCCCCTTTTTTAAGATACCAGAACCGTGGGATGATTACGGGGCGCCTCCAAACACGAGGAGCCGGCCAGATTTGACACCTATATAGTCCCCCGTAAGTAAATAGAATATGGGGTTTAGGGTTTATGGTTTAGGGTTTGGGGTTTAGGGTTATAGTCCCACTTAAGTAGATAGCATATGGGGATTATTTTGGAATAATGAAGAAGAAAATCGAAACGACTATTTAGGTTTAGGGCTTAGGGCTGATAGCCCCCCTTAGGTAGATAGAATATGGCTTTGGGGAGATTAGAATAAGACACCCATATACCCCATGCTCTCCTAGGGGGGACTATAGACCCTAAACCTGGTTTTGCCCGACATCCTGAGAGCACCTTAACACTCAACCTGGTTTCCTGGGTTGGCCCCTAAAACCAATTGAAACAAAATAGTATATAGGGTCCCTTATTAAAGCCATTAGGGAAAATATTACATATCCCATGGGCCTACCCAGTTTAGGGCTTAGGGTGTGGGGTTTAGGGTTAGAACCCGAAGATCCAGAAACCTTATATGGAGGTTTCCCAAAGTTAGGGGAACTCAGGTAATCTTTTGAAAGTCCCGATTACAAAGGATAATAGTAATTAATCCCTTCCCCCTAATAATAAACGACGTCCACCCCCCGAATAATAAATAATCCGGTGGGTCAGACATTATTTATTATTAGGGGGCATATGTATTGAAAGGATTTGGTAGGGCCGCCTTTAAATTTCTTTTCAAAATCAATTAAAATTGAATTAAAATCCCGTTAGAATCAATTGAAATATAATTGGAATTCCTTTTAAAATCAATTGAAATCGAATTAACATCCCGTTAGAATCAATTGAAATTTAATTAGAATTCCGTTTAAAATCAATTGAAATCGAACTAAAATCCCGTTAGAATCAGTTGAAATTTAATTAGAATTCCGTTTAAAATCAATGAAAATCGAACTAAAATCCCGGGAGAATCAATTGAAATTTAATTAGAATTCCGTTTAAAATCAATTAGAATCGAATTAAAATCCTGTTAGAATCAATTGAAATTTAATTGGAATTCCTTTTAAAATCAATTGAATTCGGATGAAATTCAATTGAGATTTAATTAAATACGGCTAAAACTGTAATAAAATCATTTAAAGTCGCATTCAGTTCTTGTATATACAATCCTTTATAAAACCATATGAAAATCAACCGAAACCTAGGATGTCAAGGGGATCCCTAAGTCCTTTGGATTCTCTATTATACCCC